AATTCACATGCTATACTTGGCTTGAAATGGCTTTTAATAAATATATCAAGTTATATAAATATAACTTGTATTTATATTATACATAATAATAATATAAATAAGAATACTAATAATATACTTAATATATATTAATATTAATATACAATAAGGGTCCATTCACAAAGGATGTCCGAGCCGAGGGGGTTTGGAAAATCAGGACAAACTCGGACATAGGGGGAGGGGTTTTTTTAGCAATCCGGATGTCCGAAATTTTAAGAAATTCAAAAACAAATTTCTTTTTCCTCCATTTTTAACTCCCTCCCATTGTGAAATTGGCATTTTGACTATGCGGTTAATACTAGATTTTGTTTTAATTAGTAATTTATATGTTTTTGTATTCACATTTATAGTTATAAAAAAGTTCTAAAAGTAAAAAAGTTTTTTACTCTTGACATATACAAGGTTGCATGAGTTTTTGCGAGGCATGGCAAATTTCCGGGGGGAGGGGGTCACTAATTCAGAGAATGCCGGACAAGGGGGAGGGGGTGGGTCTGAAAATCTATCATTTGGCCGGACATCCTTTGTGAATGGCCCCTAATATATATATATATATATATTAATATTATATATATTATATATATTATAGTTATATAATATTTTTTTTTTCTATGTTGGTGTTGTGCACTCAGGTGAATATTATGTTTGTGATGTTACTCTGAGTGTATATCCACACCAGACGAGCTTGAAAAATATGGCCGGCCACGGTGGGAATTTACCTTTGTAGGTTCAATTCCCACCTTGGCCGGCATATTTTTCAAGCTTGTCCGGTGTGGATATACACTCAGAGTAACATCACAAACATAATATTATATAATAGTTATATTTCCTTGTTATACTGGAAAGTATTAACAAGGTTAGGGAATTATATTTTAAAAGTGTAGTTGAATATCCAGGAGCGGGCCAAGTTCACCATGCACTTCTACCCGAAAAAGGTGAATACCCTGGGTATGCCCGAGGTGGGGGGTCGGGGGTTTCACATGACTGGTGCATAACTGCATGAATACAATTACTAGTTATGCTGAGGAAATCCATAACTGTTCCATTCCCCATAATGAAAGCAAATGGTTAACTGTTGCTTATTAAACTTGTACACAAATGCTAGGTCCTTCTTGTCATTTACTAAAACTTTAACCTTGTATCCTTTCTTTCTGCCTCCTCCAAAACTTCTTTAGAGGTACTTTATCACAGCCTTTGGGTTAAGCCCAGACAGCAAACACAAAAGCTTAGCTGCAGCATCAATGTTAGTAAAAGAAATAACTTCAGTCTTTTTGTTCTTGGCATGAAAACAAAGAGGAGGGCAAAACTCCTTCACTGATACATTTTTCACAACATGTACAACCAAACCAAAAATCTGTGAAGGAATATCTCTTCTAACTTCACCATAAAAGGGATTTCAAATACGATTTCGACCTTCAAGGCGTCGATATATAGCCTCAGCCAATGCTCGCTCTCTTTCCGTATTAATTGAAGCGGGCTATAGCTAGCAGAAAGTAGGCGAAAAGCCTGCAAATCTGCTGCATCGTGAAACACCTTTTGTGACAGCTGTGCAACAGGCAGAAGTAATTCTACGGCAGTGTCGCGAAAAAAATTTGTGTTTAGACTCCGGACCAGCATCAAAACTAGCCACTAGGTCAACTAGTTTACTGCGGATAATTTGATCATTATCTGGTTCACAGCTTTCATCAGTTTCATGGTCTTCGTCGGCATTTAATATCATTTCAAGAACCTGCTCTTCACTCAAACCAGCAGCCATTTCGTTTATTCAAGAATTAGAATTATTTTTGCGAAACCGCTGTTCAGTCCATCTGGTGAACATGAGCGTTTTCAAATCAATTTATGCCCGTCGTGAAAACCGTGGCGTGATCCTCAGGAGATGTTTTCGTATTAATGCCCAATGAAACACGAGTATTACTCACAAATACAAACGTTATCCATAAATGCACATGGTCTCTGAGCATGTGATGCACTAACACAGACAACATTGTTTACATTCCATGAGTCCGTATTTATAAACATATAAAATTCGAAAAACTCAGTGATCCAGATTTTGCATTTCCAGAGAGGTTGCATGGAAAAAACATCCCAGTCAACTTCTAAGAGAGTAGGATAAATCCAAAATCCACAGAAAAACGCACTAAAATTTGTTGACAAATGAATAAATTGTTTGAGACTGAAATATAGTCACTCGTTGGTCTAGTAAACTGGAACACTGGAAACTGAGCCTGCGATGCGCTAACACAAACTCAATTTCTCAACAATGAAAAAAAAAGAGGAAAAAACAGATATTTAGGGATTTAAGACAGTTGACCTTTCAGGTCAGTGTAAAAATCTGCGTGCCAAATTTTAAGTGTGCCATACCCAAAATGACTGTCGTATAAGTGGGGCTCAAAACAAGATATATGTCTGCATGCCCAAAATTTTTGGTGGACCGAAAGCATCTCCAGAGGTAGTCTCAGCCGGCCAAAAAAGTAGCAAGCAGACCCAAAATTAATTACGCATGCGCTGTTGCACTTATGCTTCAAAATAACCATACAACATGGCATCAATGGTGTCTGCTGAAAAGAAAACGAGAGGCAAGTTATGGCCTGACAATGCGACAAAATGCAAAATACAGTTGTGGTCGGAGGAGACAATACAGGTTTCTTTAGATTCCTGTAAAATATCTCGCCAAACTTCCAATATTTACGAAATATTACCGGTGAGTATTCATGAAATGAATATTTTAAGTTTTATTTCCTACTATCAATCCTACCTATCGTGGTTAAATGCACCTAATAGTCCAGGTAATAGCCGGACAGAATATACAGTTAACTGTATAATTTCCCTCAAAAATTTTAAGGCCATGTTTTATACTGTTGTTGTTAATACATTTGTATGTACCACAGAATATCACAGAATACCAGTTTTCTATTTCTCTTATAACATTTGAAGGAAACATGCTATATACTATTTTTGTGAATATATATTAGTTTTAGTCTAAGGGAAGCCTCACATATCGATTTTGTCCATGAGAAACGTCATATGTTCGTTTCTCTGGAGACCCCCCCCCTTAGAAACGTCACACATAGTTATCGATATTTTGTTCTTACACATAAGGTAATTTTCTATTATTTACTTTTTTCGGTCGGCTATTGGCGATGCTTCCGCGAGGAATATGTCATCTTCTGCTGACATACTCTTTTTTTATTAATATATATATGAACTTCAAAATTTCCAACGTTTCTCAAAACAACTTTTTTTGCATGAAATATTGATAATTTTAGCACGTTTTTCTTGAAATTTGAGTGTTTTCAATGCAAGGAAGGCGTAATAATATACTAATGTATAGGTATAGAACAGGTATGGTATTACGAATATATAGACTGCTGTTTGTATCAAATTGTTTTCTTTTTTATATTCTGCAAAGATAAAAACTATCAAATTTTTCCATGATGTTTACAGAGAAACGTCACAGCTGCCAACCCCCCCACCCCCAAACGAACATATGACGTTTCTCGTGGAAAAAATCGATATGTGAGGCTTCCCTAAACGGTAATATAAAAATGAAAAATGGATATTTTCATAAAATTCTTAACAATAATCTGGCTAATTAAACAACAAATAAATTCCTCATTTTTCGCACTTTTTTTCTGCTTAATGCCTGTAAAATTAGAAAGTTTGAAAACAAATTTGCAAACCAACATGATTTACATTCATCAACAGTTTTTCTAAGCGATACAACATTTTTACTATTCAGGAATCTCACTGAATAATCAAATTTACTAAAATTATTGGCAAACCTAATATATTGTGGTACAATACCACCGGCATTCTGTATAGTCTAGGACCTGTATAGATGTTTGTTATGCATTTCATTTAGGAAGGTAATCTCAACTGTTTAAGGGTAAAATGATCATGGCGGTCAACATGGCATATGTGCCGAAACCTGAATCTGTGCAGAAACCCGAATCTGTGGTGAACGTCCTGAAAATTACCCCGCCCTGAAACGGCAGTGCCACCATAGCTCTAACTTTCCAAAACAAAAAGCGACACCCTTTCTGAAGTGTTTATAGTGTCGAGAAAGGTTGCTTTTAGGGGTGGTTATTGGAAGGAAAAATTTGTCTAAGTATAATATTTTACAAGAAAATGACCATGCACCACCCCAGATATAAAATTGTTAATTATGCATAATTTCTTATTTCCTAAAAAAATTATCATGTGATGAAAAACTATGCTTAATTTAATATAATTATTGTAGTTTAAAAGGATTGTCATTGTTTTCTTCAAATATAATAGATTTTCACTCATCCCCAGGAAAACATGGTTTCAGCCATATTTTGCCGTCTTGTTTGCTTTTTATCACCGAGTCTTGCAAATTTCATCCAGTTGTTGTACTTTTACATAATGATAAGTGGCTAAAGAAGATTTCAACCAAGTTTCATCACGTTTTGAAACAGTGCAGTGTATTTTATCTTCACTTCTCTGCCCGATAAATGCCACTTCTTTGTCTTCATATGCATTTAGATTACAATATCCAAGAGTACTTCATCGTAGAATAGTCCCAATCGAAAAATTGGAAACATTAGTTGCACTTGAAAGGGAAAAACCTCCCATAACACTTGTCATATCACAATTTAAAAGAAGTAATTTAAAAGTCACGTACAAGTCCACAAAAACTCCTCCTGGGCTACATGATAGGGGGTGTAGAAAATAATTGACATTATCGCGATAAATTATGCATGACGTAGAAATTATGCATGACGTAATGATGGCGCAATGTGCTGTTTTTGTAATCTGTATGTTTTGAAGTTCTGATCGAGGTTTATCAAGAAAATAATCAACATTTATCAAAGTTTATCAACATTTTATTTCACAGTGCCGACTCCCGGGAAGTATTGAGTCTAATTTAGAGCAAATTCAAGTGTTTAAAGTTGGAATTTTATCGAAATATTTGTATTGAATCTCGTTGAAATATATCAAGTATGGCAGATGTCAAGAAGAAAATCAAGGCACGTCAAGGCCATCGTACATTTGTAGAAAGCGTTATGACAAAATCTCGTGAGTTGATTGCTGGTGAAATTACTGAATATATCTGTCAGAAGCTACAAGTAAATAAACGAATTTTAGAAGGTAAAATTGCTCTCTTGGAAAGTATAAATGGTGAAATTGTCGATCTTTTGAACGCGAAAGATAATATCGAGAAGGAAATTATTGATAGCTCAGAGTTTAATGCCACAGTCGACGAATGCCTTGTTCAAATTGATATTGTATTGACGGAAAGTGCAAAAGTTCAAGTGAGTCCACATCAACCAGTTCTTACACCAAGTACTGCACCTATCAAGGCTAAATTACCTAAGTTGTCTCTGAATAAATTCTCGGGTAATCCTGTTGACTGGCAGGCATTTTGGGATTCGTTCGATTCTGCAGTTGGGCCAAACTCGTCATTAAGTGATGTGGACAAATTCAATTACTTGAAATCATTATTACATGGTTCTGCAGCAGAAACAATCAGTGGATTTTCGCTTACAAAGGAAAATTATTGTGAAGCTATCAAATTACTAAAAGAAAGATATGGGAATAAGCAAGTTGTTATTTCAAGTCAAATGGATTCCTTGTTGAAATTGCCCGAAGCTACATCAATGGGTGAGGTGAAGAAACTGAGAAATATTTATGACAAGTTGGAATCGCTTGTTCGAAGTCTACGAAATGTTGGTGTTTCTCCAGATACATATGGTTCATTTCTTGCTCCAGTTGTTATGTTAAAGATTCCATAAGAATTGAGGATTATTATTACAAGGGATTTGCCATCTGGTGAGTGGAAATTAGAACCACTTCTCAAGATATTTAATACAGAATTGCAACTGCGAGAGAAATGTGCCCTTGTCAGTGGTACTGGTCAGCGGAAAGAACAACATTTCAGTCAAAGAGACAAAGGGAAATATATCAATCGTTATCAATCATCTACAGCTGCCTTGCTAACAGAGAACAAGAGTGTTCAATCAAGGGAAGGGCCATGGTGTACATTTTGTAATGGGAACCATCCATCATCTAACTGTACGATTGTGACCGATATCTCTGCTAGAAAGCAGATTCTGCGTCGACGGGGTAAGTGCTTCAAATGTCTTAAAACTGGCCACTTAGTTAGAGATTGCAAATCGGGAAA